AGAGATGTAGAAAATGATTGAGGGGTCTGGGATCTGGCTCATCTGAAGAGACCTTGTGTGACATCAGTCTGTATCACCGTGTCCCTGTCATGTTTGTCCTCAGAGGTTTTGCTCCAGATGCACTCTGTGGGAATCTGTGGGTCAGATGTTCACTACTGGCAGCACGGACGAATTGTCGACTACGATGTTGCTGGGGCACGAGGCGTCAGGACAGGTGGTGAAGGTCGGATCAGCAGTCAAGCATCTTAAAGTGGGTAAGTTTTGTGTGTGTGTCGGTCAGAGCTGTGAGATAACGGCTGTCGGTTGTGTAATGTGCACTGCCATAATCTTTTACACTTTGTAATTGTGTAGACCTTAAAAAGGTTGTCTTACTTTATTAACTTACAAAACACAGAGGGATGTGTGGAGCATGTTTTCCCCTGCTGTGAACCTGACTTGTGTTTTTCCAGGTGACAGAGTGGCCATCGAACCTGGCGTTRCCCGGGACATGGACGAGTTCTGCAAAAGCGGCCGATACAACTTGTCTCCCACCATCTTCTTCTGTGCCACACCCCCTGACRATGGAAACCTGTGCAGATACTACAAGCACAGCGCTAACTTCTGCTACAAGTACCTGTTTATTTATGGTTTACAGGGCGTTGCACCAGATGTTTCTTAACAACTGCCTGATCTCTGACTGCCAACTGACTCACTTGCTTAACCTTTGCATGTATCCTTTTCTCTTTTGTTGTCATCTATGTGTCTTTTCTTCAAGGCTGCCGGACGGAATATTACAGAGTGCATGTCAGGGCATGGAGCAAATCCATATAAAAGAGCTGAGTGTTCTGTTTTTAAGTGACATGTTGGTGCTTGAGATCTGATGTAACACAGTCTTTAGAAAAACTGCTAAAAGTGAGAATCTTACTGACTTCACAAAAGTCAAGTGAAAAATGATGTGAACCTTAACACGGCTCYTCAGGGGGTTAATATTTAACAAAGTCACTGTGGTGAAAACAAGCTAATGAAAATTTAGACAGGTGTGTAAAGGAAAATCTTTTTTTTTTTAAACTGAAGTACAATGCACACAACTCACACGATACAACACAAAACATGACAGCTCATCCTCATTAAACAAATATTAAAAATATTAATATTAAATAATAACTTCAATTGATTAAAGCTAAATCTGGGCACCACCCTTCAAAGGAAGGGAAAAGATAGATATTCATTGAGTAAGTCTCAAATTGAAATTATTCTGATTAGTAATTAAATTAATAACTATAACCAAAATAACCACTTCAATAGCTAGCAAAGTTGAAGGGTATGGAGTTCTTCACAGTGTAGAGGTTGGCAAAATGTCAGGGGTGAAAACATAACCTCCTTGGAGGAAGTGGAGATGAGGTATTACAGAGAATGTTTGAGAAAAACGTTTGTGTCACTGTGTTGCAGCTGGCCGATGGCTATAAACTACAAACTGGACATCGACCCAAAGAGAGATAATAGAGGTAGTTTAAAGAAACGTTAATAACAGCACTGACTGTTGTTTCACCTACAGGTCAGACATAGAGTCAGCTTTAAATGGTATGAATAATAACCAACATTTTAATTTCTTTACATCGCTGTAAATTTTAAACACTGGTACAAAAAATACAACTTTTTAATATAATGAGTCTTAAATTACAAGATGTGTTGTGTTTCTTCATGGATAGATTATTGTACTTATATCTAGATGAGCGATACTGCAGGACCTGCATTTCCTAGTTCTAGACACTAGGGGGAACCAGACCCTTAAAGTAAAATCATTGTATTAATTCAATGAACAGTATGATTATAATGATGGTCATGATATACAGTTCCCAGTTGCTGTACATGAAATTAATGTATTTTAAATCTGTGAGCATCTTTTATTTCCTCATATTCAAACCCTACTTGGAATTAATATGTGGTGTGAAACTGTGAAACACGTACGAACTCCTATAATTATGTTCAGAATTTTACTGAAAATAAATCTAACTAAAGAAAAAGACCAGGTAAAAGTTTAGTCAAATTTATGAGATCAGTTTAATACCAAGTCAAAATTATGTGATTGATTATTGGAGCAATTTGCTCTAAAGTTTGACAGTTCCTATTTAATTTTAAATCACCATTAGTATTATTCTTGTCTTGTATAACCTTTCATGTTTTTTAATAGTGGCAGTGGGTGCATGGTCTGCCAATGTTTAGCCTCACTGCAGGAAGGTTTGAATCCCGGCTTGCTGGGGCATTGTTCTGCTTGTTAGGTTAATTGGAGACTCGGACTGTAGGTGTGAGTGTGACTAGTTGTTTATATGTTGGCCCTGTGATACTCTGGCGAACTGTCCAGGGTGCACCCCCTCCAGCTCTCACAGGATCAACAGTATATGGCCAATGGATGGACGTTGGCAGTGGACCTCGATATTAAACAGACTAATTGTAAAAGACAAAAGTAGATTCACAGGACAACACTTCTTTGATGCAGTTTGCTATTAGTGGAATAAAACCAGGCAGGTTTAGCTCAGTTTTTATTTTCTTGCCACAGTGACATGATACTATTACGAGGCATGCACACAGATAATGTTCATATGATTTAACTTCACTACAATGCATTGTAAAACCGTTACTCTGCGGTAAGGCTTTTTTTTTCTTTCACAGTGTGTGATTCACTCTCTCAAGACTGAAAACCAATGTACAGGTGTGAGGATGTTTGCAGTGACTAAACCTGTTGTGTCGTTTTGTTTTTTAACATGAGCACAATACCAGACACGTTTCTCTTTATGTACAGACATTCTAATACTGCTTATGGCAATGGGACAGCTCGCACGACACAGTTACATTCACAATCCACTCGTGGTATTCATGAGCGTCAGTTAGGAACACTAAAGATGAACACACAGTAGAGAGCACGCAAAAAGAATATGTCATTTTTTCATACGTGTGACATGTTGATATCAAAAGCATAATTAACGCATATGTTAATAGTTTTATTGGGTTGTGAGTTATTTAAACGTGTGAGTGTGTTTTATACATGAGCTTTAGAAAAGACTTGAACTGTCATTCGGAGGTTGACCTCGTGTATTGCCGTAAAATGAAGGAAATCAAAAGGATATGGCGTTTCTCCCATAAACCCCTGCTGCAAGCATTGGTTTGATTCACATGTACATTATATCAACTTACCAACATATCAAACACTAAAATAATCCCTCCCACACTCCCTTTTCATGGCAATAGTTATGATATCCGGCATTTTATTTAATTGTGTCTTTGCCTTCATCAAGTTCCGCGTCCTCTTTCAACAGCAGGATTAAATATTTACAAAGCAGCCGTGGCCCCTCCCTCCCCACTGCCTTCAGTCACAATATTAGCAAAGTATTTACATGAGAAATAAATAAACGGAGAAGAAAATGAAAGTATACAAGGTGTATAGTTTCAGTATTGTATTGCATTACATGAATACAAAAAAAATATATTGCGATGCACTCACCCGATAAGTCCATCCATTTATACAGACACACACAAGAAAGCACAGTGGACAAATAAATAAAATAAACAGTGTATATATGTATATACACACAAACACACACGCTGTCTCCAGCTGGAAATATGGAAAAGGGGTTTCATGTCAATAAAATGGCTGCTGCATGTTAAGCACAGACAACGGAATGATGAAGAGTTGAAGTCATTAGCTCAACGAAAGAGAGAAATAAAAACAGAGAGATGAATGGACAGGGAGAAGCCGTCCTCTCACTGGTCAGGATGATAACCAATCACAGCTGACGGCCTGTCCTGTGGAACGGTCCCTGGTCGCCGTTCATATGTACATAGGTGTCTCCTGGCCTGTTAGAAGTCTGAACATGGCTGCCGGCATCGTCTTCATGTGGATCTGAGAGTGAGAGAAGCAAAAGCACAACCTTTAAATATATAATCTGCTTAAAACTGTGTCTTTAAACCCTAAAAGATAATTTATGTTGTGTTTTATAAAAGTTCAATTTCATGAATATCCATCTGATAAACAGTGTGTTTTAGTTTTGTGGTGTTATTTCAGAGTCTAGTTTTTATATCCTTCTTTAGCAGCGCTAAAATGTGAGAAGTGTAAAATCAATTGACAATAAACAAGATATTTAATGACGTAGCCTCCGCAAAGTTAAAAAGAGATAATTGAGAGGGTTGTTGGATAAATCTATGTTTTTGAATCTGGCTGTGTCACACAATTTGTATTCTCACCACACAAAGCTTCGGAGCGACTGAGTCAATCACAACTTTATCCTCTCGTGCACAAAAATCCACTCGACATGTTCTTTCCATGTCAAGTTGGTGACAGGTTGAATTCTTTTTCTAAACAAACACTTGCCTCCATACTGTTTTTTTTTCTTTGGCAGTGTGACATGTGACATAGTGATGGATCTGCTCTTCCACAGAGTTGTGGGAACTTGTCACAGAGACAGAATAAAAAATAAATTTAAAAAAAAGTCAAAATAAAATGCAGGCAGCTCAGACTGAGATGTACTTTTACTTTTAGACTCCAAACACGTTGGATCCTTCAGCTCCCATGAAGCTACTGAACTGTACATTTTGTTAGACCAACATTTTTTCAAGCTCCACAACACTTATTAGGTTATTTTAGTACAGTGGTTTTCCACCTCTTGAGTCATGATCATAGACTCACTGTATATTAACCTCTTGATCGCCACCTGGTGGCTGGCTGCTGTATAGGTCATAAACCCCACCTCCTCCATGTTAGTGGATTCATTTTTTTTTAAAGATGGTGTCTGTCGGTTATTAGTTAGGTATGTCTTTGTCTTCCTGTGTGACTACTTGAGTCTATGAGCATTTGTGTATTTGTATGAATCAGTTCAACCTCGCCAACGGAGTTCGAGAGGGCCTGGACAATCTTCTCATGTGCTGTGGCCACCACGCTCTGTCCATTGATCTCAATGATCCTGTGACCCACACGGACGCCACCGCGCTCAGCGATACCTCCTCGCATCAGACTGCATATCTGTCGAGTGAAACATCCAAACACACCACAGAGGGGTAAAATAACTGCAGCAGTATGAGTATGACACTCACAAAAGAAGTTTTTATTTCAAAGTTTAAAAGGGAACTAAAACCACTTTACATCCATGTTCAATTTGATCCTTGTTAATGATAAAGCGATTTAAAAAAAAAATGTATTAGGTGGGTAAATATTTTCTCAGTCAAAACAGTAACTTATCACTGACACTGTTTCTCCAACACACAGGAAATAAAATAATGAGCAGATTAATCTTAACTGAGACAGGAATGTACACGTGCTGCACAATTCCAATATATATAATATTTTGTCCATGGGAAGAAAAAACAACAAAGCAGTGTTTTTGAATTGTACTAATATCCATGACCCACCTACATGCTGGTGGCGGTGAAAAAGATGTCGGATTAAAACTTACGATGCCGTTCTGGACGCTGAAGCCAAGCTGATATTTAAGATCTGGTCTCTTGATGAGGACAGTGGTGACAGGAGGGCAGCTCACAATGTTCATTTTCACCTGGACCTGGTTCTTTAAGCCCTTTAATGCACAGAGCAAATATTAAAAAAACTGCTTAATCATCACAAAGGTTAATGTGGCTAAATATCTGAGAACAATCTTAAGATGTATTTCATAGTTTCAGCTTCCTCCTCCAGCCTGACCATCTCCAGTGTCTCTGTACCTTAATGATTCCCTGACAGGTGGCGAGTGGCAGCCCCACGAGACTGGTGTTGTTGATGGACATGATCTGGTCTCCGATGCTGAGCTTGCCAGAGCGAGCCGCCGGCCCGCCGTTCATCATGTTCGCTAAAATAACTGTGGGCAGGATGGATCCCCAGCCGGACTCTACGATCACCACACCCAGGATCTCCCCTTTACTCTTCTCCAGTTGCAGCTGTGGAGCGGGAGCAAGTGGGGGAAAAAAAGGGAAAACTTTCAGTTTCTTTGCATCAGTCTATGTTTCAGCAGGTATTTGATTAGAACACATACAGAACTTCTTTTTACTTAAAGCAATGTGGTTCTTCTACACAACACACTGCTATACATTACTGACAACTACAATGTAAAGAAAATTCTGTTCAGGTTGAATGTGTGTTTATTTTAAGCATAAAGAGTAAAAGATTAGTGGTGATTTGTTTATAGTACTATATTCCATCAGTTTTGTATTTCACAGTCTTTTACACATCCAACCATTGGGCAAATCTCAATACTATTTTAATGTAAAATAGATTTCCCTGCTTTTTGCTCCTCACACATGGAGCCTTGAATAATTAATTTATTCTCATCACAGTTGGTTAGGAAGCGTTATTGCTTCAGGAAAGCCCAGTTTCCTCATCACTACAAATTGCTTATGTGCCTGAAACGCAGCAGCAGCTGTGTGGTGGGGCTTCTCTGCTCAAACAGCAGAAACTGTTTCACGGTTTCTAACTCTCCTCAGACCTCCAGTGATGCTTCCAGGGCACAGTGTTAGGTAAAGAAGAAGTTGATTTTATTGTACCTTCCGCCTCTGAATCTGTCTAATTAGCTACTTTAATTGTGGGTTTCCCTAAAGTGCCTGTAGCATAATTAGATTTGTGCCACAAATGTGAAGTCTCAGTGTTTGGGTCTCGTTTTTTTTTTCCTGCACTGACACAAAAAAAAAAACATCTGCAAAGAAGAGTGACTATCTTGAAGACGCAAGATATGACAGCGTATTAAGGCCACTTAAAGGAGAAAATCTGAGATTGTAATATTACAAAAAAAAGTCATAATTTGGACAGAATAAAGTTGTAATATTGATTAAATGATGAATTTTAGGCTACACGTAGTATTAGAGGGTTAAAATGAGGAGTGTCTTGGTGAGTTTAATAACTTACTTTAATCCTCACAGTAACTTTAGTTCAGGTTTCAGATTATAAAATATTTGATCTTTTGGAGTCAAACTCTGATGAACACAGTAATATAAAAACAATTCTTTCTCCCTAATACTCTGTTGCAACAAGGTGTTTATGTGTGTACTGTACTCTTAATATCCTAGACCCACCTCTTTGCAGTTTTCAGAGTTGGAGAAGTGAATAAGGTCGTCATTGTACATCTCCTGCGTGTTGATGATGTCACTGTACTCCTTCTGGCTCAGGTCCTCGGGGTTGATCCCATTGGCTCTCAGAAACTCTTGGTAAGCGACGCTGAACGCCTGACCGATGGACTGAGCGATGAGCTGGGCCTGGAGAAAAAGCAGGAATCATAAACGTGTGTGTGATCTTGTTTTGTTGGATCCACAGAATCAAATACAACGACGCAAGTGGAAAAAAAGCATCTGATGTCATCTAACAATAGTGGCAGTAACAGTACAATACATATACCAAGTGTGAATTTCATAAGATGAACAGTTCTCAAGATAAGAAAGCCAAATACAGACAAACAGAGATAATAGAATTAGTGGATGAAAGATTACTGTTGTTAAGAAAACACCCAGTTTAAAATGACCTCAAACACTTTTTTAACATTATGGGGTTATTGAGTCAGCGGTCATCTGATTGGGTTGTGGAGGTTGAGTGCAAATAAATTGTGAAAGTAAAACATGGACGTGTACAAATGTACAAACATGTACAGACCTGATGACTTATCCTGGCCGTGAGATAAAACATAGATCAAGAGATTAAAAGCCTTGTTTTACCTCATTTCCAGTTTAACTCAGGTATATACTTGTATATAAATCTCACACAGAATTTGCAGACATTAATGCCCTGAACTCTTGAAATCAATAGGATGTGAATTAGTTTGGTAGAGCAGTAAAAAAGTTAAACGTAGGCAAAGAGTGTATGCAGCCAGTGGAGCTTCATTAACAGACAGTCTTTAAGTTGATGAATGAGCAGCTAAATGCTTCTATTATCACTATGAGCAGTTTTTAAAACCTGGCAGTAAACTCTGATAAAGAGAGGATGGATTGGAGTTTGGCCTTCTTTACTGACTGGCACTGACACTGAGTTCCTGGATCCTCTGAGCAACATTGTTAATGTTGCCAAGTCTTTGCAGGATCTGCTTCAACAAGATGAGCAGCAGCTCTGTGGTCAGAGAATAAATGATGTCCAGCCAATTTACAGCATTTCACATTTGTTTAGTGAGGTCACAGCAACCTTTGACCTTTGACCACCAAAATCTGTCCAAATGAATGTTTGTGCCATGTATAAAGAAATTCCCTTTCATTTTCTCACATTTCAGATATATCGCGTTTACAAAAACGTAAGGTCATGTGACCTTGACTTTTGGCGTCGACCACCAAAATCGAATCCATTCAACTTTAAGTCGAACTAAATGCTTATACCAAAATTGAAAAAATTCCCACGAGGTGCTGAGGCAAATGTTTTCGTGTTCGTCCATCTGTCAGTAAAAAAGTGTCTTCTGTTCAGAACATTTAGAGATGTCATCTCCCAAATGCGTCCTCTTATATAATAACACACAAATAATGTGACATCTGTAACATCTGTGTAAACTCGTCTGTGTCACCTCTCACCTGCTCCTGGTCATTAATAATTTCTTTCATAAACATGTAAACAGATCGGAGGCTTTGTGACATCACATGATTCACTTACATCCTCAGACTCGAAGACGTGGCAAATCATCTTGTATTGTTTCTTTGCCTCAGGTGCCCCGGGCGTCGTTTCAATACAGTCCTGTGAGGCTGTGCGGGGCATCCGGCGTCTTGCCATCAGGACCACGATGTTCCCAATATCAGCGATGTAGGATATAGTGCGGAGAGCGTTATCCATCATGGTCTCCTGTGGACACATCAATCACACAATCAACTGTCAAACATCAACATTATTGTTTCCACAATACTCTGAAAAACAGTTTCAATTTGTGAATTTGAAAGTGACATCATCATCCATGTACGATTAATCTTGACATAATTGTTGGTCATATCAAATTGAAAGTGCGTTGTTGACTCCATTCTGAACAAATTACTGCATCACAATTGAACATATGAAATAACAAAATGGCGTATTAATGCACATTTCCACCGTGAAGTTTGTACTCATGTTGATCTGGTACATTATGGTGACATGGGGAATATGTTCTTTTTTTCATATTAACAAAATACCTGCTACTGTTTTTTATTCTGGCAAACAGCAAACATCCTCTTCCGGTTAATACTTGACTATAAAAACACCAGTGTATATTTGTTGTCTTTTTTTGTCAAAGCTCTCTCACTTTCAGAGTGAGATGAAACTATTGCTGGTAGAAAAACATACAGTCCAGAATTTAAACCTGTTGTATAATCTGGTTATAGCTCAATAATACTAAGTAGACTGTTCAGGCAGAAATAATGATGATACCTCAGAATGGGTTTGGATACATGGAGTGTTTGTGTTGATGAAACAAAGTGATTATGAATGGCTTAATCGTATTTGTTCACTTTGCCCAATAACTGTCTTGTGTCATAATGTAAATCTGATGAGGTATTGTTTCTGAACACAAACATGAAGCAGCAACTTAGAGAAGATACAGACTTTGATGGTGAATCTGTGGGGTTGCTGAGAGGAAGTTGTATTTCTTTATTGTTGAAGATAGTATGTTGATTTTAATTTGAGTTGAGTTCACTTCATTAACTGTTTCTGCTGGTTTTATTACACAAGCCTAATTAGTGTTGTTGTTCCAGCCCACAGTCACAGTTGTTCTTATCATAAATCAATGTCAGAAAGCCCATACAAGCTGCTTCGAGCATTTTAATTGCACAACAAAGGTGTTTTACTCAGAATCTCTCTCTGCCAAGAGCGCCAGCACCAGTGGCAACCAGATGGAGAGGGGAGGAAGATAGTCACTGCATTGCAGCACGTTGGTTTCTGCCAAACGGCTGCCCACACGCACACACGCACGCACAATCTGACACTCTGCTCAGACAGCAACACAGCAGCCAAGTCAGAAATAGTGCAAGTGAATCATAATCTCCACATATACATTTAACAATGTGACCACAAAGCTCTACTTGTGATCTCAAGAACTACAAAGTTCTCACAAACATTTCTACTTCTACCAAAGAAGCCCAGCTCCCATCCATCCTCCAAGTTTGGTAGAAATCATCAAACCAACAAACAAACCAATAAACACACCAACTGGAAGACCACTTCTCTAACGCCCTATCTAGCCACTATTTGCTAAAGTGAAGAAATAGAAATAAAATCCTGGATCCGCCTGTTTATCTGCTCTTTCTTGGGTCATGACCTATCCCTCAACACAATTTCATGGAAATGAGTTCAATATATTTTGCATAATCCTGCTGATCAACAAACACTGATACTGGTATTAACAAAACAAATCTGACATTCATAAGGACCTTCACACAGGCAAACTTCAATCTGAATTTTCATCAATGTTTTGACCTCGTATGGCATTAACATAATTGAACAGTCATATGCAATCCATCCTTTAATTGAGGAGAGGAGTGGCCCTTATTTGGCTCTTTATACAAACTTTCATGTATGAAAAAAAACAAAACATTGAGGAACAGCTTGTGCTGCAGTCAAACAGCTTGCTCAGTGCACGCTCTCTGAGTCCCCCTGCATGCACAGATGTTTGTGCAACATTTTTGGGCTTTGCAGAATCTATTCATATCCTCGGTTAAAGGGAATTCTGAGAGTGATGTCATGAGATTAAAACTCAAATAAATAAATAACTAGAGTGGCACTCAGTATGGTGCATACCTCCGCCAAGGCCCAACAGACTGCTTGAATTCTGCACCAAATCCATCATGTTCTTTCCGACATAGTTGTTAATCTAGTGAAGACACATAAAATGTTGATTCTGTACTAAATCCACATCATCTTAACAACAACAACGCATAACCCCCTTTTAAATGCAGACTTTTACTATTTGAATCTGCATCAAACTGCTCACACTCATCAATATCAGTCCCCTAATATTTTTTCCAACAACATCCATGAATTATTCTCTGAAAAACTGGTGGAAAAAAACACACCCAATCTTGAAATGTTAAAGAAAGAGATACAATTCCTGGATCCGGCCCTTATTAAATGTCTACACACATAATTTTATGATTCATTCTTGGCCAATGTCCCATCCTTCTATTACGTTTTGTTGAAATCTGTTAAGTAATTTTTGTGTAATCCTGCTGACAAACACACACACAAATGGACAGGGGTGGAAACCAAACCTTCCAGATCTCCTGCTGCAGCTGGTGAAAAAAGACACAGAAAGTTCTCTGACACTCACCTGTGAGTCTGCGTTGAGAACTTTGATTCTCTGGGTGGAGATGAACAGATCGACCTCAGTGAGGGTTTGAGCGTCTCCATCTGCATTCTGAACAAACAAACAAACAGAAGACGGATCAACTTCTGACTCCAAACATCTTTGTAACAAACTTGCTTTTTCATGTTAAACAGTTAATCAGAGTGGTGCCGGGGTTAAATGTAGGAAAGTCTTGGATTAAATATTCATATTGCATGCATGTGTAGTTTCAAGTTCTGCTGTGGGCGATGCTTGTTAGATGGACAAGTTTAGTCTAAAGGTGAGGTGGGGGCAGAAAACGAAAGCGTCTGGCAGTGGTGTTAGTTTACATTAACTGTCCTGGCACGAGAACAGGTAGCTGGCACACACACAGGGAGCAGCTTTACACTCAGCCCTCACCAGCTGGCTGTTACACCAGCGAGAGCAACGCCACTTCAGCACAGAACGAGTCTGTCCACATATTTATTCCTCTCATCAATGCAGACTCTAATAAAATTATATTTTATTTCATTGAATAAAAATTGCCTGATGCATTTAAATGAGGCAATAGTGCTAAACTGTTAATAAAACACAAATAGCTGTGATTAAATATTTAATCTCATAAACTGTGCAATCTATTTGAGACAGTGGCTTTTAACATTGATTAGTGTTTAAATATTAATCTCTGCCAAGTGTCTGAAAATGCAAAGAAACTAAGGAACGATGTGACGATGGGCCCAGCTCACTGATTTGTGAGAACTTTCTATTAGTATTTATGCTGCATATTCAAAATCCAACTTGTTTTATGGATTTGGTGTAAAACAGTTAACAGATTTTTTCATTCAACATGAGAAGAGAATCAGCCGTCTGTATAACTGAGACACCCAGAAGTCTTGACAGAAGAAATTCAGTGATTCTGAAGATGGATACTAAAATATGAAAATAAATAAATTAGCTAAACTGATATAAAATACATCCCATATACTGTATACTGAAACAATAGAATGTGACCAGAAGTACCATGCTCCCAACAAATGACCATTTAAATGATCTGGGACTGACATTTCTTCCTCTTAGATTTTAATAGCATTAAGTCTTAGATGCTTTCAGTGAGAACGGAGGTCATTCACACATAATTCCTCTCTCCACTGCAGGATCACCAAAGGGAGAAGAAGCAGGATGTGACTGAGAGTAACAGTGAAACTTACTTTCAGCTGTAGCTGCTGTAAACTATGTTGATAACACAGAATGCTGAATTAAAATCTCACAAATACATAATTCAACTTACTGGAGGGTGATGGCAATGTGAGTGCAATGTATGAAGGAGTAATTCAAAACAGTGTTAATAGTGTTTTTGCAGCAGATGATGACATAAGCATTGTATTGCGATAAGTGCCTCTTCTTTTTTTTCTTTTCTCTTATCTTAAATCAAGTTGTTTTTCTTTGGCCCTAAGGTGAAAGGCATACATTTTTTATATTCAGTAAGTTTTTCTTTTTGTCATCTAATCTAAAACATTTTGTTGTTATCATTGCTAGTTATCTCGGTAAATTCATATTGTGAAATACAGGAATTAATTACACATCAGACACAACATATATCAGAGCATGGGGAGGTGGTTATTGTTGAACAACACCTCAAGGTTTTGAACATACAGTGTGTCATTTTTCCCTGTAACATACATTTTTTGCTCTCATGGAACCATTACACAGTGTTGTTGACTCCATACAAGTTATTCCCACAGGTTAGAGTACAGGTTAATTCACCGTAATAACTAATAAATTAAACCAGAGTAATAACACAGACTGGAGAATAGTGTCCAGCTGACCTTGTGGTCACGTGCTCACACCAGTATGTTGTGATTGTGGTTATTCCTATGTCCAAATCTGTCTATTTCTATTATAAGTGAGTTAAACGACTGCTGCTTTAAGTCTTTGTTGTAGATATTATTGTTTTATTTGTGGGATTCTGCTTTGACTGTATCGACCAGTAAACCCTCGATGTGACCGCAGTTTGAAAACTTCTCATGCTTATGAAAGTCTTTCACTGCCAAACTGCACAAAGTTGTACAAAGAACAAAACAAGTTTGCCTCAGCTCTTGAAATAAATGCGACAAAGATTTGTTCAACTTAATGCACAAACTCAGGAATGTGCAGGGCACAGATGAGAGAGAGGCAACACAGACGCACACAGGCACAGATGCAATGAAAAAGAAAAGGTGAGAGTGGAGGGAAAGTGGCTTCAGGGTCTTCTTTTTGGTCTGTTTATTACACACCGCCTTTTTCTTGATTTTGGCAGCCTTCTGTACCCTCTGGCAGGCAGCAGGCAGCAGGCAGGCAGGCGTTGGGACGGGACAGGGTCAGCAGATACGGGAGCACAAAACACAGAAGGAGGAGGAGGAGGAGGAAATAAAGAAGGTAAATAAAAGAAGGTAAGACAGTAAAGCCTCAAACCAAACGGCAGATGCTATCGCTGCTCTCAGGCAAAGAGAGAGGGACAGAAAGACAGAGAAAAAGAGAGAGAGGTGGTGTGTGTCTGTGTGTACGTTTTTGGAGGTAGCGTTTTGCACAGCCGTGTTGGTTATCAGATACAAATCAAAACAGCAATTACAGAGGGTAGTAATTGCTTTTCTCACTTTTAAATACAGCAAATCAAAAGCATGCAGACATGGATTTACACAGTTCCTGCGTTCTTGACGTATAGATGAAGTTCAAATATAAGATTCTAGAGAGTTTTTAAATGTCTTTTAATTTCTTTAATTGGTTTGACATTTCAAGTTTCAGTTTTTGTGGTCAGAACATTCACCAAAAAAGAAAGACAGGGCTTTATGCTCCTGTTTCTTAAAGCTTGGCTATGGGATAAATATGCTATATTCCACAACTTAAGAAAAAGGCTTTGAATGGTTGAATTTTTCCTCTTTCAAAACTGCTGCTCTGTTTTTGCAGTATTTCTTCAACACATTTAGTTCTGAAAACAGTTTCTGCACGTTGAAATGATGTAAACTGAGTTTCAAGAGAAACTTTAGGAACTTACATCTGCACTCCTATTGCAGTGTATTGTTTCAGAGTTGAGTGTATGACACACACTTTTCAGAGATTCACCCTGATATTTGTGTGCGTTGTCCTGCAGCTCTGATCTGAAACTCTGAAACTATTGGTCGGAAAGAAAGTTGGGATCCTGGAGGCAGGGGCACTTGTGCCTAACCCATTGTTGGCTCTTTGATGAAATATGGCCCAATCACATGTTGCATACCAGGTTATTTGGGATTGACAGACTGCTCCACCAGTAGAGCTAAACAGCATTCTTCTGTGGTTTGATCATCAGCCATAATATTTTTAGCATCCAAGTAGACTTACCAGAACATGGCATGATATTTATCCCAGACATCCCAGCTCACAGAGATTCAATAATACAGGTTGTGTGTGTGGATCTATAGACACCATTACCAGGAAAGAAAACAAATAAACAACACTCATAGAGGCAGGGGAGTGGGTGAAGCCCTGAGTGAGGATTTAAATTGTGTGCTTGGGGTTTGTTGTCTTGACTGCATCAAAAAAAATACAAAATTCAAGGCTGAGTCACTAAAAGAGCTTGGATCAAAATGGAGGCAGTTTTACACAGTTAATGTGTTTGATTAGTTCGTCGGGAATTCTTCTATTGGAGTTGGCCCTGCAGCTGCTGGACTTAGATAAGTAATGTTTTGGGGGCACTCTGAGCACTTAGATCCAAATCAGCAAATCTTTTGTGTCAGGTTCAAGCTGAGCTGCGGCGCCCTCTTTTCATCAGCCGTTGACTTGAAGAATTATCTGGACCCTCATTACGTTTGCGAGAATGAGGCTGGATATTTGCCTGAGTCACTGTGCAAGAGCTGTAAGTCAAACATTAGTGGGGGAAAAAAAGCAGAGTAAACAGCCCAAAGGGGCCAAAGGAGTCTGTTTTTTTTCCCCCAGGGTTTCACTTTATAAAGTTTCCTCCTCCGTGACTGGTTCTCATGCAAAGACGGGCATCTGAGGCTTTCAGCGGCATCTACTACCCTGCTGAGCAGGAGGGGGGGAGGGTTAGACAGCAGGAAAGAGTGAGTGTGAACAGTCGACCATTTCAATGTCAAAAACTAAATGTACACTTATTTAATTTGTCCACCAGGAACAAATTGAGGAGCTTACTGTCGACTTCTTGTTCGGTGGACTCGTTCCAAGCAGAAGGAAGCAGGTAAAGGGTGAAAGCAATCGTTCGTCATGGTTTTATTACTGACAAGACTTTTCCAGGGAAAGAAACTGTGCATGACAGAGAGGGAGTGAGGAAGAGTAGAGTCAAACCCAGATGCCACAGATGTGGACATGATGGTAATCCTCATTTAGTTCTGCTGGTGTATAACTTTCCCTGTCATCCTTTTTTTTGGTTTCAGGGACGTTTGATTTTAGGTTATGAGTGTTCAGAGTGAATTTAGGAATGAAGATTCCACTTCATGAGCATTGGATTACAAAAACTACGTAATGTGAATTTTGTCTTTCATGTCGACCATGTGTACTTGCCATTCCATGCTCAGATTAAAACAAAACAAGTGCTGTTTGGTTTGGACTGAAGTCTATAGGGAAATGTACTTTTAAAACAACATTTAAAAGTTTCATGTTATTTCATGTTGTAGAAAAACATGTTTGATGTATATTCCTCAAAGAAAGGAGTCAAAATAAGTATTAAGTTTGTATCTGCATGTGCTAACTTTCTGCTGTTGTATTTGTCCACACAAATGTGTCTCCATCACATTCCAGCAGATTTGCATCATTATATAAATACTAGCAGGCATCAACCGCTCTTCAGCCACACTTTGACAAACACTGAGACTCATTTTTGAGCCTGTATGGAAACTAATCACCCTCAATCCTATAAATAGAAGTGGGACAAATTACACTAAAGTGAAGCCTGTAAAATTAAAAAATAGGACTGAGTTGTAGGACTAGTGAAGTATGAGGATGAGCCTTAACCAGCTGAGTCTGGTTCTTCATTAAACATGTCTCTATTTTAATTTACTTAACATTATACAAATCCAAATGTGTCTGAAATAGAGCCAATGCAACAAAAGACAGATCCCTTCACCAAAAACCAACTACAGTTCATGGAAACTGGCCTCTATTTACTTTTTCACACCATAATTAATCATGAAATCTGAACTAACAGTTAAAACATCATGTGTCCATCTTTTTTTCCCCTACTCTTTTAATTCCTGATCTATCCCAAGAGACAGTTATAGGCTACTTACATGTATCTGTCTCATCATCTGAAAGTTTATTGAAGATGTGTACTTTTCTAAAAGCAGTCCACGACATAGGAGGTCATTCAATATTTAAAAATACCAGCCAGGCTTGTGTTCACATGATAAGGAGATAGACGAGACAAATGTCTGGGTAAAAACTGTGCAACAGAGAGAGGCAAAGACCAGAAAGTGTCTGGACCCAATCTATTTCCTGGAGTTCGTGTCTGAAATAAAAAAGCCTCTCTCCAGAAACAGGGAAATATTGAGTTTCTCTGAGGCTGGACACAAGCACTTTAGACAGTGATGAACAAAACAATCAAGCACATCAAAAATAATATGAGTCAAGCTCCTCTAAGATGCACTGGACCCACGCGCAGTATCTCTCTGAGACTGCACTGAAGACATCATCATCACAACATTATTAGAGAACAGCAGGGATCAACAAGGGAAATATAAGGTTCACATGTCAGCGGACCCATTATCCTGCCGGCTGTGTCAAACACATGCCCCACGGCCTAATCTGGATAAGTTCTTTAGCTGCACTAAAAGGCCACTCATGCCTTGTATATGAATATGATTACAAACAGCCTGATGTCCATTTAAATTTTATATGGCACAATCTGGACCTCGTTTAAAAATAGCTATTGAGTAAATGATAAAACATAAAGCAAACAAGCTGAAAATACTGAGGGTTCACTTGTGCTTGAAAATCCTCCTGCTTTTCACAGTATGTTTGAGATGAGAGATGTATTTAGACGTTGTGTAACAAATAGTGTCAAACATGCAGTATTAGCCATGTAAAGCTGCTTGACCGGTTTTCTGTATAGAAAACACATATAAGTTGGAAAATAGAATAAATCAGGTCAGTTGCCGAAATAACCCAACGTCACTGATCTCTTTCACACATACCAGTGACTGATCACACGTTTTGTCATTTTTCTTTGGCTCTGTTCACCGACACGACAGCTTGATACAAGAGATGCTGTGTCGTTTTTTGCCACCAGGAACAAGCTAAATGTAGCAGTGAGTGCTAACCAATAAAACCCTGTGTAACAGTATGTGGTGGCACATTGACAGTATCTTATCAATGTTTCCGTTGGTAACATCAACATGTAGAGATCAAGGAAATAATTTTAAAAAATCAATCCAGACAACCAGCGCCTTAATGACTTGACCATTCATATGGATTCAGTTACATTTGCTCAGTTTAGTGCAGTTTCGTTGTTGTTTAGTTGTTGAGTGACACACTGGGAATAGGTTGACAGTCACTGAATAATAACCTGCCTATATTCATTCATATGTGTCTGTCTGTGGACAGAGAGAAGACATAAGTTAGGGATGAAAGTTCGAGCTCAGGGAGGAACAGGAGAGGACATAAGGAGAGAATGAGAGCGCAGAGGACAGAAAGATGAAAAAAAAAGTCATGATGTGACCCAGGGTGGCCTGATAAAACAAGATTCCAACTTTAGTAGCAACATCCTACAAAAGTTTGCCAAAATTTCGTCTATTAGTCATTAGCGATTAGACCTAAAACTGAACTGTAAACTCAACATTGGACTAAAATTCAGGGGGTAGGCTGTATCACTGTGTCACTGAACCAAACCTCAACTTGTGCATTAGTTATCAGTACGATAAGTATTCAGAGAAGAGACGGTCACTCACATCATTGTTTGTTAATAAGTTACAGTGTCTGGTTGACTTCCAAACTTGCAAAAACTGTTCAAACATAAGGCAAATGCAAAACACAAACCACCACAGGTCATTGTCGTCTACATTCTTTATTGTCCATTATCTGAATAATTTTCCAAATATTCACAGCTGTTCAGACTTAATCAGTGTTACACGAGGGGACTATCAAGTAGTTCCATGCAGCAATTAATGGACCAGAGGAAAAACAGTGGGAAACTGAAAGTCAATTTTGAAAAAATCATGTTTGCTTTTCTACCCGGTCTGAAGAACAGCGGCAGATCAGGCAAATAAAACCAGACAAGTTGTAACACATTGATCCTGTTGTGCTTTGATGTTTTAGTTTGATGTAATAAATCAATAACAAGGAGAATAAAAAAACTCCACACTGTTTCCACATAGACAATCTACTGACTCAATCAGGGTTATTTTTTTAGCTGTAGAACAAAGTTTTGTTTATCTAGTTCATGCTCTTCGTTCTCTCATCATTGCTCTCTCTCCCACACTCATTCCCGTTCACGGAACATTTCACTCGACCCTGCCTTTCTCTTTTGTTCATTATCTCACTCTTTTTTTGTAACTATTGAGAAAACCAAAAACAGAACTTTGATTCTAATGTTAATTTAGAACAAGAAATGTCCACCTTTCGTCCTAACATTTATACTAGTGGGACCCATTATGTCCATATTTTATGAAGGAAGCAACATTAAGCCCAGCAGATTCCATCCCAACTGCGCCTGAACAAATTTAAAGTCTCACTCCTGGACCAGAAACTATTGTACAGCAGCTAAGTATAGTTTCTCCTTTTTCTTGAGCAAATGTCGGTAAAGGTCCTGGGTTCCTTGGAAGGTTTTTGGTCCCTGGGAAAGACTGTAGAGTGGAAACAGCTACTGAATCCCACTAAAACTTATATTGCCTCCTAGATTATATCTGTGTCATCCCGGCGAAAACAGCAGCATAACTGAAAAAACACAGCCTGCTTATTGTGGGATGGTTTGTTTCTCTGCATGTTTGAGTCGGTGTGCTTGGATGTGGGTTTGTTTTTCAGTACCTTGACCCTGCTGACAGCCTCCTGTGCCTGCATCATGCGTATGTTCTTGGACGGGTTCCTCTCAGACAGCAGCTGAGTGGAGCCCAGGTAGTTAGCAGCAAAGATAATTCCATCAATCAGGTCTTCTGGCTCACACGGTCCTGGGACTGGGCCAGAGGCAGAGGAGATGGTGGTTAGCGATGGAGATATGGGGGAAGGAGAGAGCGTGGTTAGACTGAAAGGGTCGGCTGTTTGAGGGTAGAGCGTAATATTTGTAATCATTCCAGTCGATGTGCAGTGTGGAGAAATAGAGCCAAACATGATGATGATGACAGGCTGGGTGGGACTGAGCTGCGAGATGGCCACTGGCTGTGAGCTAATGGAGGTTCAGGGCTGTGGGGAGGCCGGGCTGAGATTAATCTGCATCTGTGATATGAAGATGTGGACTCTCAAATGTCCACTCAGGGGGCAGACAGGCAAATCAGCTCCTTACACATTAAACCCAGAATCCGCCCAGAGGCAGTGAGAGAAGGCTGAAAGAGTTTTATCACACACTGACACACTGAGGCCCAAGCAACACTTGGAATAGTTCCACACAATTACAATATTTTGATTTTATCTCCAAACAGATGAGCAGAGAGATGAACTTACCGTCGACAAAGCTGGGGAACGATGCAACCTTCTTTGTTGGCTGTAAGACAGAAACATAATATGACAGATAAATGGATGCAAGTAGGTGTACAGTAAATTAAACATGACTGTGGCTCTAAAACAGTAAGTCACCCTGCTACTACAAAAAGTCATTTTTGGACATGTCCTGTGGAGGAACTCTGGAGAATTGGGTCTGTGTTTTCTCCGTAGTCTGCCTTTCACACATGATAAACAGAGCAGGAGGTTCTCTGCTCAGACGCATTCACAACAGGAACAAAATCTCTGCAGGATTCAGGCGAGTGGTGGTGCAGTAGGCAGTGGTGGTGCGGAGATCATGTGTTTTTGTATACAGCACACCAACACCGGTGTCTGCTCTTATTTACACTTACTCTCTTGATATGTTCATCAGTGTCTTATACTTGTATGGCTCTGCTTTTTCATCCTGAGATATTTGTTTTTACCGAGGGATCTTCTGCTGTGTTTTCACATCAGCTCCTCCGGACTTTCTGTGGACTTTCTACTAAGACGCCAGGCGGAGAAAGTCTACAGAAACTCCAGAGGCTCCCACTCGGACATTTGCATTCACAAATCCACGTCCTCCAGAGACACTGCGGATGATCTTCTGAGTTCAGTGCATGTCTGATAGCAGCTTCACTGTGTTGTTTTAATGACCTCATCTCTTCATCATTGGAATCAATGTTGCTGTCAGCAGCAGGTTTGATGTGATTCTACTTGACTTGCAGAGATGCAAACCACCCCACCCTCACCTGGTGTAAAAGATTGATGACGCAAAGGGCACTTAGAAAATTCAGTCACGTACAGTACGGCCAGGAAACCGGCTAAACTCTTGATCCCTGTAGAGACATTCCCTTTGGTGCTTCTGCTTAGAATAGGCATCATAAATATTCAGACTTTTCTATTTTCTTCTGCAGTGTCCTGCCCTGAATTCACACAGTGACATGCATTTACACCTCAGTACTTCTTATGCTGCAGGAGATGGGTACATGTACTTTGCTCAAGGGGACTGCAAAAGTGGGTGTAGACAGGGTGCAAATCATTATTCATCCACTTCACACACTGGGATAAACTGTGGAGGCTGGACGACAGAGGATTTAAAGGAGGCTACAGAGGCCACAGAACGAGCTGTGAATAGTTATTCAAGGGATTCCAACACTGGATCTGTTGGATGCTGCTCACTATACATTCACAAAATTTACACCACCATAAGGACAAACTACTGTGGGTGGAGCCTGTGCAGGAAATGTCCACCGCAGACATGAAAAATGGTTGTCATAAAACCTGGGCAGATATGCTACTAAATTACCAGGACGCTATCATGCCGTAAGCAGAGGACATGAGCTGTTGCTGTAATTACACAATTACTCAGACATTCCCACACACATGTGCACACACAGGCTTGCACACATACAAAACACAGTTGTTTCTCTCTTTTATGTGAAAAAAACCAGATCTAAAGGATGATTAAGGATTCGCTGCAGACAGAATGTACAACACCATCTCACCTCTGGTACGTTGTTGTTCTCCAGGGGGATGTTGAGGTCGGAGCGCTGCTGTTTTCTGGGTTGCTCTGCACCATTGCTCACCTGGCAGGTCACCACACAAGAGCAGGTGTGAGTGGATAAGAAGTAGGATAGAATAAAAAGAGTGAACAACACATGCTCAACATTTTCTCTGTGTTTCTGTAGTTTGTAGCCAGGTTGGAGGAAAGGTCAACAGACTCACACGTGGATGGCTTTGAATGTAGGTTTGCTCAGACTTGTATAAAAAGGGTCCTTTGGGCAAATAAAAAATATTCCTTGCTGCTTATGCTGTGAAGTGGGGAACCAAGGAGGTTATGTTTTCACCCATCTGCTTGTTGTTGGTTTGTTTGTAAGCAAGATTACACAAAAACAACTGAACGGTTTATACAAAACTTTGTGGAAGGATGAGGTGTGTTGATCCGGATCAGGGGGTGGATACAGGTGTTTCTTAAACTTTCTCTAACATTACGAGATGAGGCCTTTTTCAACATGTTCCCAGGGAATAATTAATAGATCTTGGTGAAAACTAATCCGGCACATTTAGGGAACGGATATTTATAGTGTGTGAAATTTGGTGCAGCTTGATTGAATTTAAGGGGACTGCCATTCTAGTTTCTTTTAATGATGCGCAAATGATCATTACTGCTTTTGTTTCTAGCCACCTTAATGGTCTGTATTTATTTAGCACTTCTCTATTCTTGATCTGAGTGACTTCACAATTTTGCCATTCAACCATTCATACAAACATTCATTGCATCTATGTGCAGCACCTTCTCTATCATGTGTCAACAATTCTACACTGTTGGTTCAGACGTCAGGGGCAATTTGGGGTTCCGTATCTCATTCCGCTTGTAGGGGGCAATTTTCCCATAATAAAGTTTTAGGCTTAAGAAAATAAAAATAAGGATGCACCGTCATTGACTTCTATAAAACCCCTGCGGGCAAACTTTAATGATCATATAGATACACTTTGCAAGTCTTTCTATTTTCTTTCGAGTGTAAATTTCATCATAAAAGAGGAAAAGAGAAAGTGAAAGCAAAAGATAACATAAAGAGTCCTCTCTCATTCACACACTGCCGCACCCAGTCCAATAAAATTTCAGCAGGCAAGCTCTGAAGATTTAATTTTCTTGCTTTTCTCTTACGAGTGATTGATTTCCTCCGTGAACCAAACATGAGCAGTGTAAGTTCAAGGAGCATCCGACCAGCGAAACTTTTTGAATCTCATGAGGGTTGTGTGTACAGGGTTCCTGCTCTTTTTTTTAAAACAGACACAGTGAAACTCTTCCAGCCTTTGTAGAGAAGCGGAAGACCTTCAATAATTCCTGTGCACAAAAACTGGTAATGAAAACGGGATTGCTGAAGGAAAACACATCTAACGCGAATAGGATTGAGGTAAATGTTTACCCATCAATTGTTTTATGGCTGATACATGCAGAAGTAAAATTACTTTTACACAGAATACACGAAAACTTATTGTCAACTGAAATTTAACAGCGAGTCGTCATTAATTGTTTTTTTGCTGCGTTTGTGGCAAATCGAATAGTTATGACAAGCGGACCGATTGGAGGAGGTGGGATGTTAATGTTTGCATTTTTTCAGTGTAGCCTACTCTTGCTAGATTTTCCACTTTCCACATTATCCTACTCTCAGCATAATCTAGAGAACCCTCATCTAACCGGACCAACAAGTCCCGGCCATTAAGCCAAAAAAAAGCAAAAGCCCTTCAGGAAAACGCATAATGATAAGCAGGAAGATTCATATATGATAATCTTATTTTTACAAAAAAATATATAAACCAACCAACAAACGGACAGACGTAAAAACATGACCTCCTTCGTGAATGGATGCAAGTAGGTGTACAGTAAAAACAAAAAAAATCATCCATCAACAGCTGAAGCATTAATTTAAAGGTAAGCGGATGTAGGGCACATGGGCATGTTTTGTCTTTCACTTGTCCTTCAGCCAGCTCCTTCTTTTGTCTCTTCTCTAATCATATATGTATTAATATATACAGTATGTCCAGCATATAATCACACAGAGGGAGGATTAGATTTATTCCCCTGGATATCCATTCTGCCATCCACTACTCCTCATTATCATTCATTTGTATTAGCAGCTGAAATGAAATCCTCCTGCCAATAAAAACCTCCTCCTCCTGGCAGAGACAAAGTGAAATTCAGAGGAACAAGTTGTGCTGTTGTGCATGTAGAAATTAAATGAATTACGACAAACATGACATCAGGCGCCTCCTTTGTAAAAAGAAATCGAAACATACAGTCTCCATCAGTTTCATCGTGTTGCCCGACTCAGTTGTGCAAACAATCACAAAATGAATGAGGTTTGTGCTGTCTGTTGTTGGATGGGATGGATGATAAACTGTGATGCTCTACTACTATTGTCATGTGCAGAATCCCCAGTGATCCGTTCATCTGAAATAACAAATGTTTAACATGGAAAACTTTATCATCAATCAGTCAGCACTGCATGAATTTGAACTCATTAACAGAATAGACTTTCATGAGAGCAAGAAAAAACAGCAGAAAAAACTGGCTAAAGGTAACACTAAGGCCATTTGTCGAACACAGTGGTAAAATATGATTGATTCAAAATAAAATATTTTAACACTGACACACTGGAGCAGCACATTCTAAAATGAGATTAAAATATGGTGTTATATTTTACTTTCACACTGTGCACCTTGATGACTTGCCTCTGTTTTGTTACTCTAATCCTCTGGCTTCACAGTTTGCACCAAAGCTGTTTCTAATTTCATCATTGTCCCAGTTCATTCGAGGTTCAAGTTGAAGTGGTGCGAAGAGAACATTTCATTGATAGCAAAGGACAAAATCCAAGAATCATCTTAGTGAGGCTGGGAATCGTCTGAATCTGCAGTGTTCTTTCTTTCAGTTTAATCTAGTTACACAGAGTGACCTAGTTCTGTGTTATAAATGAGGCACACACAGCAAATGTACAAGCACATGTGCACACTGTGGAGCAGGTGTGTATCACCAGGATGCCCACAGGAGACTATCACTGTTCTCCTTTTACCATCTGACTTTTAGAAGATGGGGGAGCTCAGCATGTGTTTGAGTCAATCGTCGTGTCTGTAGTGTGTGTGTGTGCGCAAATATGCGGAGGAAGAGAGATGAGGAGCGACATCTCAAGGTAACATGGGGAGGGGTGAGGCTCCAGCTATTCTCTGGTTGGTAATGAGTAGCATGTCACCTGTAACTCTTCTCCAGCTCCTCACCATAAAGATCCTTTAAACATCCCCAGTGCTATAGAGCAGTAAAACAACCTGATTATACAGAACACTTTCTAAATGGGCTTTGTGGTGATACTATTATGTTGTCATGTTCCTTCTGTTCATCTTTGTTTCCACCTTACCCACACAGGAACATTTAATCAGACAAGCAATGAAAGTAATGACAAATACATTTTTGCATGAGAATAAATGCATTAGCTTAAATGTAACCCAAATTATTATTCTTGAATTGGCTGAAAGAGCTATATAATGGGTATTCCTTTGTATATTAAAACAAATCTCCAATGTGTTAGTTTCTTAGTTGATGCAGATACAATAACACTGTTTTTATACCTAACCTAAGAGGATAGCAATGGAGTCCATGCACACCACAGTTAATATGCACCTTCATACATTTTTTTATGTTGTATGTTTAATATTTTTTATGATGTTTACAAATAACACCAGTTTCAGTAATCTCCCTTTTCAATACACTCGAAAAATGTTTAATCTACTGAAGCAATTTAATTTGCAAATGCTCTGGCAACCATTACCACTCATCTCCCACTGGATTCTAATTTGTTAATATTTACAAGATTCCAGTTTTTTGGGGGGTTATTAACTAAACAAGAAAATCCTTCCCACTACAGTAACTACAGTACATACCTCAACCCAACAGTCCCCCTATGAAACCACGTTTAATTTCACTAGATCCAGATTTTTTAATCTACACTTAACTGCACACAAAAATATCAGTCCTTAAAACAGGCCTGATTTTTCTCATCAAGAACCATGAACTATTGTCTGAGAAATCAACTAAACTGTTGAATAACGCCCCAGTGTTAAAGTAAATTAAAAAAACAATCCTGGATCTGCTCCCTGATTTAAAGCTAATGTAGCTTGATAACACATCCACTTAGTTTTGTGGTGATGCTGCAAAAAGGTGATCTCAGATGCTAGTATAAAGATAAAAGCAGGTCTGTTGCACATCGTGTTTAATTGAATGTGGACATTGAAAAACAACATCCATGTTCTTCTGTTTCACACACAGCTCACCTGCTCCTGAGCCCATCTCTGTCTGTCTTCAGGGGAACGTGGATGCGCCTTGATCGCCCTCTGGAGGTCAGGGTTGTTGTGGTGCATGGAGGGGAGATTCAGAGACTTGGGCCTGCTGTCGTGCCGATGGTGAGCTGGTGGGTAGGCGGCTGGGTCAGGCTTGGCATGCGAGTAGTCGCTCGGTGGGGGGTCCTGCACCAGCTCCTCTGGGCTTTGGTCGGTACCGCTGCTTAGACTCCCCATGCTCATACTCATCTTGATCTCAGCGACAATTTGGTCAATGTCCTCCTCTGCCTCCTCCCCCGTCTCCCCCTCTACCACCACCACTTTACGGACACGGTAGGGAGAGACTCGCACTGAGTTCCCATTGTCCTCTGGGGCATAGTAGTCTCCGGTGTAGGCCTTTCCGTGTCTCTCCTCCTCGTCACCTTCCTCATCTTCCTCCTCATTAGGGCAGTATTCCTCGCTCTCTGCCTCCTCCTCCTCACCTCGGTTGTGCAGGGGGTCTTGCAGGGAGGGTTTGTTGTGGTGATGGTCCAGGATGGGTTCCGGCCTCCCGTTGTATATCTGCTCATCTGGATCTTGTTCTACCACTTCACAGCGAACCTCCCCCTCTTCCTCACCCCAGTCCTCAACCCTGTGCCTCTCTCGATCAGCCCACTGCTCCTGCCTGATCTGGTCCTCTCCTCTCCACTCCTCCCCTTCATTCTCATCACCCTCTCTCCACTCTTCCCTAACCTCCTCCTCCTCTTCTCTCCATTCCTCCCTAGCCTCTTCCTCCTCTTCTCTCCACTCTTCCCTCACTGCTCCCTCCTCTGCCTCATCTTCCACCCATTCTTCCTCTCTTACCTCTCCCTCACCCTCTCCCTCCTCAGCCCAACCTTCCACAGCCTCCTGGCATTCATCTGTCTGGGGTCCGATGGGCTGCGTGGTGCTGGCGCAGTCCCCCTGGCTGTGGCTCTGGCTGTGGTTGCAGTCTCCCTGGCTGCTACAGTCCATACCTTCCAGGTAGCTGTCGTCCTCTGGACAGTAGCGAATGTAGTAAGTCACCCCCTCGTCTTCCTCTGCCAGACCTGGAGTGTTTATGGTCACAAACAGACATGTTCCTTAATATATTTGGGTTGTCATCACTGAGTCATATTTTATGTTCCATTAATCTCAAACCACTTAATAACACTGGGAGGCATGGTTTGCAAGTTTGTTTCCATGTGGGATTTGACATGCGCTTTAAAAGAAAAAGAAAAAAGTGTAGATGCAGAATAATAACATGAAAGTGGAGGAAATATTCTTTCAATGCTTACAATAATGAAGATTGTTGACATCACACTCACCGTCATCATAGTCTTCCTCGTCATCTGAGGTGTTGTTGATATAGTCAGAGCTGGAGTCATCATCCAGGCTGTCAGCTCCACCGTGGAAGTCTGCATGGTGGTGGTTGTCTTGTTTACATTCGTGCTCATGTTCGTGCTCATGTTCTGGCGTAGAGTGTGTTACTGGCCGCTGATCCTCCCGTTCTGCGTCTGGTTGGCTGCTGTACGGCTTCACCTCCACCTCTGCATCCACATCCACATCCACAACTGAATGACTGCGACCCACGCCTTGGGACTCGGCAGAGGAATATTGCGCCTTACAGGAACGGGGGAGAGGTTTCGGATCACGCCGCACTTTGGGGTAGCGAACTGGGCGTTGTCGAGGGGGGAGGGGTTTCAGGTCACATGGCTCTGTGGGACGAGGGGCAGGACAGGAGACAGGACCTGGAGCAGCCATTATGCTTCCTCCACTCGTCCCAGGCCTCTTCCTGTGAGCCATGATTGGCGGCTTACAGGCCATGCATTTTTAATGGTTTGATCCTGGGAAAGAGATGGAGACACAGGGGCACAGCTTTAGAGCAACATCAAATACAACTATTAATCCACCCATGCAAACGCATACACAAGAGACCGTGCAATAGAATTGAATTAAATAAGGGCGAGAGCTTTCAAGCTTTAAAGAGCAAAAAGTATAACTGTGTGTTTCAGCAGAAAAGGTATACCACCCCTCATCAAAATGGCAAATACAGATTTCCTTTCCTTTCCCTTTACCTACAGAACACAAAGTACATCCTTAAAAACACTGTCCTCCATTTCCCTGACTCTTTCTCTAAATTCTGCAAACAACTGCAACATATTATCCATGCCTAATAAACCAATCTATTCCTGTAACTGAGCATGTTCCTGGTTCACTTTATCCATAGTCAGAGAAATGCTCTTGTGCCTACTTAGCACAACTTTGGCTTCAAATACACAACAGTTTGCTAATATATTGCACAGGTTTAACTTTCGAACGACGCACACAAAGAGGAGAGTCTTTCTAAGCATGCAAGCTTCACATAAACCTAAAGGGACAACACAAAGAATCAATAGTTTAATCAAGGTCATCTTCACATGTGCACTGATACAACTGGGTTTGCAAATGATCAGCTAAAGCAAGACTATTATTGATTCTCCAGTAGCTTAGTGAGTGAGAATGGTCACCCTGGGAGACAATGAAGGCCAGTCCTATAAAAGAGCGAGTTAAATAGGTGAGAAGACAGAAACGTTTCTGTGGCTAGCGCGTAGACAAATGTATCTGATGAAATAAGTGAGTGAGGAAATAAGTTGCTCTGAAATGTCAATAACTAAACAGTAAAAGATAAAAGCTATAGGCTTTCCAGCAAGAAATTCATGTGCCATCTCAAGAGGGAATAAAAACTCGAAAGTCAGCAGTTAGAAAACTTGGTGACAGCTCTACGTAGTAGCTTTTCATATGAACTTGTATACTTGTTAGAGATACAGTTTGCAAGGACATAGTATTACTTAACTTACTTTCCCCAGTACAAAAAGGTTCTCAAATAAGACAAAAAGGTATCCTACAAATCATGAATGAAGAAAAGAGGAAGAAAGAAACAAACAAACACACATAGATTACAGAACTATACCAACTAGAGCACATTTCTATTAGCTGCACTGCATTTTAAGTTCAGAGTATGTGTTTACGGTATATCTTTCACCAGGTGTGCCCTTGGTGCCCTGTCGTCCATTTTGTCCCTGTCCCAGCTCTGTTGTGCCACCCAGTTGCCATGAACAACTGTCCTCAGAGGGATCCTGTTGCTGCTTTCCCCTATTTTACTTCCCCGTAATTACATTTTCCATCACCAGTGATTACACTGCTTAATTAGCTCTACACAACCTAGTACAACCTAGTACAACACACACACACACACACACACACACACACACACACACACACACACACAC